TATCAAACCATAATTCAAACACGAACTGAAAAGTCTACTTGTCTTGGCATTCAAAACTTACATATGTCATTTGCATGTACAGTGGCGTCTTACTTCTTAGGTGGTGTTTTGCAAATGGGAAAGGGAAATGATTTTCAACCCATCTTTAAATTCTAACCATTCATTCTCCCTCTTATATTTAATCCTAACCCTTCATTCATTTTCCAATCCTAATCCCACCCCCCATTTCCCATTATTCAAACACGTCCTTAGTGTCCAAAACATCTTACGTATAATAAGAAAAAAAAATTATCTCACCTTGAGACAGAGTTTGTCACCAAATTATAGAGGGGGAATAAAACAGACAGCATATGTCAAGTTGTCGACCACCAACGAGTGAATTGGCAGTTTGACACAGCATGAGAAATTTTAAGCTCAGCCCATGAGATCAACCTCCCTCCCCTGGGCCTGTATACTTTGCCTTGGGCCGTCGCTTGGCGTGAGATCAATGAAGGCCCGCTACAAGTAATGAACTCAGTGTTGCTTGCTTAAAGTTTTTTTTTTTTGGGACGCATGGCATTAGCACCCGTTAAACTATCACCATCGACGTTCCACGTCAAACCAACACAACTTATAGGCCCTCTGCAAGGCTGGTACACACTCACTCTCTTTTTAAGGCAAATGGAATAACATTATGGTGCACAAATTGAATCATTTTCATTAATAATTTGCATGAAACATTTAAGATTTTTCATAAAATAGTATGAGATTTTTTACAACGTTGTAAAAATATATACATTGACTAACATAAAAAATATCAAAAACGAAAATTTCGGAACAAAGCCTTGATACTTTTTTTATGTTCCGGTATTACCGATATCACTATCGTTTCCATTTATGTTATTTCGATTCTATTTAAATAGTAATAATAGCGTAACTGGTTTGAAGATTCCTATTACCATACTCGACAATTTCCATTGCCTAGAAAAATGATCCTAAAATGTTTAAGATTGAGCATTCGACACAAGATGGAATATTGGGTGCATTAGGGACTCCATGCATTTCATCACCATACAACCTCCAATCTTATCTTCTCTTCCCTGTTACCTCGTGCTCCTCTTGCCCTAAAGTTTGCTTGCGCAGCTCCGTCACTAGGAACGATCTCACAAACGACGCTACAAAGGGAGAAGGAGATGCGGAGGGATAAGGAAGATTGAGCGATGGCGGTGGCTTGGCCATTGGCTCAAGTGCGATGAGGCGAAGCACAACGATAGTTGGCTACGATCGAGGAGCTTGTCGATGAGGACCGCCATGAGTTCCAAGAAGGTAGCATGACCACTGCTTCCTGTGGGTAGACATGCGAACCCCCGTGCCCCTTGCTCCACGGCTTTGCCGGTTGTCATGTCAACAAGATGTTGGTTGTGACCTCCTTGATAAGGCCCAGATACGACTCTGGTGGGTAGAAGAAGAAGGTAGTGTAGCTTTTTTTTATATAGTTTGACGATGTTGTAATCCATTATTTCCTTTTGTTGCACCTAGCTGCGTTAAGATGTTCCATTTTGTTCTGAATGAATATTGAACATATTGATATATTTGTGTTGTAATATATAGTTTTCAAGTGTTACACCTAGTGAAAACTTTTTTATCCCAGCGATGAAACATTTTCTCGAAGTGATGAACATTGAATTTTTTTTTCTCCAAGATACAAACATCTGAAACATTTTGTTAAAGGGCCTGTTTAGATCCATTTGAAATGGCAAATGGCAAATGGCAAAAATTTTGGTGGCAAAAGTTTTGGCATTGCAAAAGTACTAGTTGGTGTTTAGATGCATGTTAAAGTTTTGCCATTCTAGCACTAAAGTGAGAGAGAAAGAGAGAGGGAGTGGTCCCAAAGCACTTTTTGGCACAATTTGCTATTATGGGCTAGCAAATGCCAAATGCCAAATTGCCAACTTTTGCTACTAGTGTTTAGATCCAAAATGATAAAAAGTGCTACAAAATGGTAAAACTTTTGCCATTTTGAAGGATCTAAATAGGGCCAAAGTAATTTTCACTGAGCGGTAAAACACGCACCTTACACCATACGATATTTTGAAGATCCGACATACCGTATGTACCATCCGTTTCATCACGCTGTAAACCAAAGGTTAAAGTGTTAAACCACACACGGTAGGGCTGCCACGTAGTCACGTAGATATATGCTTCTTGTCCATGTAATCCCCGGCACGTCTCGGCCCACCGAGCACGAGGCGACGGGCCTCCATCCGAGGATCGTCACGTTGCCTTTCAGATTCCGTGGCCCACGCACCACCAATGAGCCCACATCACCGCACGGAGAAAAGGACAGGAGACGGAGGCACTGCCCCGGTGGTCTCTCCCTGCCCGTGGGACCCACCACCTCCCGGGCCCACCTGGCACTGTGGTGGATAGCCGCTTGATAGGTTCCGGGCCTGACGTGGACTACCAAATACCAATTGCCATGGTCCAATATGGGGTCCGCGATCTGGGCCTGCATTGATTCGGCCATTAAAAAAGGTTATCGTCTCGTCGACGTTTTTCATGGGGGCCCAATTCGCTAGTAGGTTGAGGCTGCTGTCACGCCAGCATGGCCTCGTCCCTCTGGTTGACGGTCTCAATTTTGTCACTTTCATGTTACTCAAGAAGAAACCCAAGTTTTCGTTTTTGCAAAAAGTTCACTTACTTTCCTATGTAAATGAGTGTTTATTGAAATGTTTAGCAAGACTAGTACAAGAGGTTATAGACACTTACAGTCCAAAAAGGAGAGAAAAATCCGTCCATTAGCGTCCGGATAGTGAAGTACTACCACAAACCTCGCTGAAAATGATCCTGATTCTAGGAGATTGCTGACAGTACTCGACTATACAAAGCATAGGATAATCTGTCCGTCTCTGTTACCTCCTTTTAACTATGATAACGTTGCTTTTGTAAGGTTCAGAAAGTCCTCATGTCTGTATCCTTAAAATATATATCGTATGGTTTTGCTAATTTTATATCGATCGGCCACAACCACAAGTATATCATGGCCACAATAGTTTTATATACTATTATATCACTGTTTATTTGGTTCAGGTTCTTAATCGGAAGTCACTTCAACGTCATGCGACCGTGCTTCACGCGAGCTCTATAAAATACTACTGCAAAGCACGATTGTTTATCCATCTAGGTTTCACATAGCTAATCTATATTTCTGTGCACCGAGATCTAAAATATTCCAATTATAAAATGCATGGGCCACAAGAAATCTAATGCTGGTACCTTGAAACCAGTAAAAATGTTTCTTTCTTTTTAAAAAACATATGACCGGCTTGCAGATGTAGTATAACCGGATGTACATCTCACAACTTGACCTGGTCCGTTGCACGAACGTCGCTGCTGAATTGCTCACCACGTCTAGCTTTCACCAAACTCGTACTTTCCATCCCCGTTTGTCTTCTCTATCGCGATAGCAAAGCCCGTACTCCGTGAAGAACAAGCAAAACGAGATGAGTATATCGCGATCGCCTGATACAATCACAGTGTACTACGTGACACTGTGACAGGTTCAAATTCGTGCGGAGCAAACTGAAAATGTCACTGTTCCTTCCACCACTAGTAGTAGAAGGGTGTGTTTACTTCGCAAATTTTTTTTGTCATATCGAACGTTTGACCGGATGTCGGAAAGTGTTTTCGGACACGAATGAAAAAACTAATTTCATAACTCGCCTGGAAACCACGAGACGAATCTTTTGAGCCTAATTAAGCCATCATTAATACATGTGGGTTACTGTAGCACTTATAGCTAATTATTGACTAATTAGGTTTAAAAGATTCGTTTCGCGATTTCTATCCAAACTGTGCAGTTAGTTTTTTTATTTATATTTAATGCTCATGTATACAAAAATTCGCTGTGATGTTACTAGAAAAAAAATTTAGGAATAAAGCAGGCCGAAACCACAGTACGGTACTAGTAAGTCTGATTATTACTCCATGCTGTTACAGAACCGGGAGGATCTGCTTCGAGAAACGAACAAACGCAGTGACGTTCAGATCAGCGAGTCTATTTTACTCTCTCTGCCGATAATTATGCCGACAACCGCAGTACATTCTACCTGCTACAATTACAAAGCCAGGCAGTAGCAGCAACAATCGTCACCGGAATATTCCACTCGGTGTGGTCGGTGGTCAGGAGCACCAAGGCAAAAGTCGCGAGAGAATATTCCGGCAACCATATCGATGATTTTTTCAGTTTTCCACTGCACCACCTACCACTAGCAGAGTAGCAGTAGCAAGTAGAACACATCGCAACACATTCATCAACCTTCTCCATGCACTTCAATGGCATGCAAGCAGCAAAGCTTATACAACAACCCTGACGAATCATCGAAACAGATGGCACTGAACGCTGCACGAGCTGCTGTAAACACAGGCAGTTTATGTCGTACTCTCTGGTGTTCCGGCTCACAATAACTAGCTCACCGTACCGGTTGTTCCTGCGTAGTACTCCTACTACAACCAGCTGCAGTAGTATTGAAATCTACTGGGAGTTGTGCACAGGGTTTGTAAAACCCCCGATAACAGCATGGTTACCGTGCTTATCATGGGTTAAGTACGGTAAAAGGTAAAAGAAAAACCGTAGTAACCTTCTTAAATTCAAATAAATTTAAAAAATAATTAATGATAAATTTTACACGGTTTCGTGCTGTTACCGTCCTTACCGCCGGGGCGCGGTAACTCTAGTCCCGGCGGTTTGGGAAACTCTGGTTGTGCTCTGATCCCATCACATCGCCATGGTGAAATCACAAGCTTTTGTTCCAAGTTCCGAAAGGGAACGACGCTTTCGCGGAGGCGGCCGGAGCAGGCGGCGCCGTGGCCGTGGAAAGCGCGAAGCCAAAGCAGGTCGACGTCGTCGGATCGCTGTCCGCGAGGCGAGAGTCCCGGTCAGTGAGGAAGAAGCCAACGGCTGCTCCTCGTGGCCGCCGGGCCCACCGAACAGCGACACTGTTCAGGCCGTGGGCCGTTCGTTGAGTCGTCCCCTTCCTTGCTCAGCCAGACTTCCTCAAAAAGTCCTAATTACCATCCTACTGCTAGTGACATATTTATGGTCCATTTTGGATGGCATATGCTTACATTAGAGCTCAGATGAGTTTAAGTAGGGAAGTGAGAGCTAGAAATTGGAGAGGTAATGGAGTAGTAGGATTTTACTACACTGCAGTGCTACAGCTAATGTGCGCGAGAATTGGCAAAAGAGACTAGAGAAGTACGTAGAGGTCCATTTTTTTTACAAAATTGCAGATAAGACCCTGCTTTCCTGCAGAATTCTTTATTCCCCCAGGCATAGTGTTTTCCAACTCTCTCTCTCGGCTGCGGTTACGCCGGATTTGCTTCAGTTCCAGTGCTCCGTGGGCTCGGCCCACCACGACGACAGCGGCGGGGGCTGATCGTCGGCGAAGAACCCGCCGCACGGCTCGTCGTCGTCGAGGAACCCCGTCTCGTCCTCCTCCACCTTGAGGAAATTGCCGTGGAAGAACACCTCCTCGTGGCTCGCCGCCGCCGCTGCGCCCGCGCCCGCGCCCGCGGCGGGCGGCGCGCCGAGAAACGTGCACGCCTCCGGAGCCAGCGCGTCCGTCGCCGCGGGCGCGGCGCCGGCCGCGTCCACGTCGTTCAGCACCGCGCTTGAGTCGCTGTCGGACGACCCAAATCCCGCCGCCGGTGGCCCGTCGGAGGCCGCCGGCTCCTCCTTCACCGACGTGAAGCTCGCCGCCGCCTCCTCGTCCCCGAGCTTCGCCTTCAGCTCCTTGATCTGCCACAATTCGCGCGACCAAGAAGCCATCAGACATTATGCGCGCAAACGAACGACTGCTCGACGCAGTCACGCAGAGCAACAGCTCAGGCGGCACGGCAGGGCAGCGACTCAGTCGGCACGTACCTCGGCGAGGAGGGCGTCCTTGTCGCGGCGGAGCGCGTCGTGATCGAGGCGCAGGGAGTCGTAGGAATGGCGGAGCGCGGCGTAGTCGCGCTCGAGCTGCTTGGTCTTCCACCGCGCGCGGCGGTTCTGGAACCAGACGGCGACCTGGCGCGGCTGCAGGCCGAGGTCGCGCGCCAGCCGCGCCTTCCGCTCAGGCTCAAGCTTGTTCTCCACCTCGAAGCTCCGCTCCAGCGCGCGAACCTGCTCCACGCTCAGCCGCCGCTTCTTCTCCCCGCCGCCGCCGCACGCCATCATCTCCTCCTCCACGTCCCCCTCCGCCTCCATCCCAACCCCTCCATATCCATCATCTAATCAAAACACGCATGTACAATTACAAAACACTCAATTTCCCGCACATATCACACTACACCATCACCTCCAAAGAATGAATTGCCACAAAAGGAAAACCAAAGAACAAAGATTACCACTAGAATTAGCCATCGTGACGAGCGATGGGCTGCCTCCGCCGCCGCCGGCACCGCCGGGTCGCTTCATGCCGAGTTCTAGTAAAATTCAGTGAACGCCTGGTCGATCTCTCTCTCTCTCTCACTGCGAGAAGACGACGGGCACAGAAGCGTAGGAATGACGCGGGTGCCTCCGTCGCTGAGTCCTCGCCGGTCTTAATTCCACGCTGCGATCCATGGCCAAACACCACGTAGCCAAGTCCCCGGTCCAAATGCTGCCTAGAATTGCAATTTTGTTGCGCGGTTTCTCATGATCCAAGAAAGGGACCAGGGGATGAGAGTGTGGAGTGTGGAGTGACTCTTCTTCCCTCCCTACCTCTCTCTCTCTCTCTCTCTTTCTCGGTTTCCTTTCTGTTTTCGCAAGACGGCGCGCTGTACCCTGTGTGTATTAATAAAGGCGAGAGAGACCAAGAGAGAGGAGAGGAGAGGAGAGGGGGGCGCTCGGGTTAGGTAGAGAGGGGGTGGTGGTGCGGTTAGGAGGTGACCAGGGTTAACGTGACGTGCGTTTGCATGCTCATGTGCAAGACAGTACGAAGAGGCGCGGCCGTTCTTTGCGTTGAGTCCAGTAACAACCGAACGAACTAGCGCGAGTACGACGACTGACTGTACTCCCGGCACTGAAAAACGACTGAATCGACGTCTGATCTAGCGTCCAAAGTCGAATGGATTTTTCACCTTTCGTAGGCATTAGCTTCACTCACCAATGGTGGGGGTGCTTCCTGCGTTGGTCATGGCCTAAAGTTTATCAACTTTGCTATACGTCCAACTCATGTGTCCGACGCATGTACGACTGAAACGGCAGAAAAAACGAGCAATGACAGCGTCAGATATGACTACGCGTCGCTGAGCCTCGTTGTTGTTTGCTTGCGTACTGTGCTTTCTATACACTGAGGCCAGAGGCTAGTCCGGCTGAGACATGTATCGATATAGCTTAGGTTGCTATTAAAAGGATTCACTCCAGATGTTAGATTAGTTTAGGCCTTCAGGATATGAAACCAATATATTTTCACAGCCATAACATGCAAGTCCTCTTAAAAAAACCATAACATGCAAGAAAAAATGATTGACCAGACTTGATAGAAAAACAAGGCACCATGGCTTCAATTTCCATATTTATGACCAAAATCAGTTGAAAAATCAAATATGGCCATGTATATGTTTGCAAGCATGGAAAAACAAGAGATGTTGAAAAACGAATTGAGATAAAAGATTAATAGAATTGTTCATGGGGCCTAGAAAATCAGAGCCTAAAATACCTTCTGTTAGCTTCAACCTGAATACTCTGTTGCGGTTGCCGCAAAAAAAAATTCTGATTAATCTTAACTGATTGGTATGGATAGGAGACGAAGGGGATTAGAATGAGGGTTTAGGGTGAGAAAGGAAATGTAGAAGATGAAAAGTCATGGATGTGTATAGAGTAATATCGAGAAGAGGAATCGACGTCGGAATATGGAGCTTCGGCTGGAGTTGGGCTTTTAAAAGGCCCAACAATCACAGCTCACGCTCACAGATAACGCCGTCGACTAGTCGTATGATGGTCGTACAAATCCGTCGTGTGTATAGCATTTTCGAAAGTTTATATAGCCCTACGAGGACTGGAACGAGGCGGTGGTCAAGGTTCGGTCACGCCCATGCTTGCACGCACACACCGTCTCACACCGAATCGGTAGGAGACTAGGAGGCGGCAACCAAGACGAACTACTCCTCCAACCGAATGCTAATCCGCGCGTAGGCAAGCGACGGCGAGGCGGTGGCGGTGAGAGATGCGCGGATTCGGCGACGGATCGGCGGTGGAACGGTTCGGCCCGCGGCCCGGCGAGAGGCGTGGAGAAGAGCGCGCGGATGGTAGCGGCAGCGGCAGCAGCTGCTCTGCTTCTGCTGCCTGCTTCGGTTGGTCGGGGCATCAAAAGGGGGAAGTGCCGGTAAAAGCCAAGCGATACGGAGCGCAGCTTTCCTGGGGAATGGTGGAGCGCGCGACTGCGGAGCTGCAGGTGCACAGTAAAAATCCTCGCGGAATTGCGGTTTGGTCCCTAGATTCTGCGGTAATACCCCTACTGGTGTAGGAGTAGTAGCTCCCAGACCCACAACGAGGGACGACGCCTCACATGTCGGGTGCTGAGAAAGTGGCTTTCGTGTGGATTTGAGGGAACAATAGCTGTGTTTGCACGACACATGGTAGAGAGATTTTAACGTGGCTTAGTCCCAGTTTAGTAGAGCTCTAACTTTAAAATTTAGCTCTAGAAGTTGGGTTAGAGTGGAGCTGTGGAGTAGCTAAAATTCAGCTCCACATCTGTAGTTCATATTGTGATAGCACTCTACCTAACTCCGCTCCTATTTTAGGTGGAGCTGAAACTATTTGTCTGAGCTCTAGCTCTAGGAGAGATTGAACTGGAACTGGAGCTGTGCCAAACAGACCCTTAAAAAAAGGTGAAACCACATACTTTCTCCGTCCAATAAAAACCAATCTAGTACCAAATATGACACATTCCAGTATTAGAAATCTGGACATACATATGTCCAGATTTATAGTACTAGAATATATCATATCCGGACCTAGATTTCTTTTTTTTGGCGGAGAGAGTAGGAGTATGTGAACCAGTGTTGTTGCCTCCTCCTTCCTATAATAAGTTTGTTTATAGATTCTCACATATATCTCTAAAAGTTTTTACTTTTAACTATCATATACCTGAGTTTATGAAAGTAGAGAATAATTGCATTTAGAGTTGAACAAGGGTAAAGTAATTGTGTTATGATTTGATAAATTAGAGATATATTGGTCTTTTTTATTGGTATGTGTGGAATGAGTGAAAGATGAACTTATTTCAGGACACTGGAGTACATGTATATGTTGTTATACCAATCGTGGTAGGGAAATGTGTATGTTCTACACTACTAAAGAAAAGATTTTTGTGTACGAGGGCCTCTATAGAATGCAGGCAGACCGTAACTACTCATGCCTACAAAAATCGACCTACTTTTTTATTTTTGCATACGACTTCTTAAAATGCCCACATGCAAAAATCAATTTTCGCAGACGAGCCTCTTGACATACCCGCATACAAAAATAAGTAGGTATGTTAAGAAGTGGGTCTGCCACATTAAAAGTCCCTTTGATTTGTAGGAAATACATAGGAATTTTGGACGATTTTAATCCTATACAAAAAAAACTCTTATGAAGGCCTTTGAAAGGATTGAATCATATCTTATCATTTGAAATTTCAATGGAATGGACAATTCGATAGAGATTATGAGCAAAAATTAGCAAGAGCTCTAACCTATTGAAAAATTTCTTTTGAGTCTATCTCTTTCATCCGGTTCGTATGTTTTTCATGCGGCCGAATCAAATAGTCATTCCTATGTTTTTTCTGTGTTCTGTAATCCTCTATTTTGCATTTGCATTCCTATCAATATTCTGTGTTTCTTTTTTCCTATTCCTTCGTTTTTCCCATTCCTGCGATTCAAAGGGGCCCTAAAATATCTAATTTCCTCCTCCACTCCTCACTCTCTCCCCACCCCTCTATTATCATCTCCTTGTCCCACTCCTCTCCTCTCCTCACATGAGCTCATCTTCTAACCCCTCTCCTCTCTTCCCATTGCGGTGGGAGCGGCATCACCCCTCGCCTGCCCGGAGGCCCGTGGAGGAGGCCCATCAAAGACGGAGTGGCGGCCATTCCCCACGTAGATCCACCGGCTGAGGAGGTGCGTTGACGGCGACGACGACGACGAGCTGCGGGGAATCGGTGACAGCGACGGCAAAGACGACAAGCGACGACATACTACGACGAGTTGGCGATGATGTTACTGGCAGACCGCACCTAGCTAAGGTTTCGAGTATTTATTTTTGGGGATTTTTTTCTAGATTTTTTTTGTGTGCAGACAACATAAGCATCCACACGCAACAATTGAGTTTTCGCGTGCGGGTGCACCGCCCGCATGGAAAAATAGCGATTTTTGCAGATACTTTTGGGCAAACGGGCAGCTCAACCGCATATAAAAATAGATTTCGAGTTTAGATTATCGGATTCACGCCAAGATTTGTATTTGGACTCCTCTTCTCCGATGATGGTGACACCACTACTCCAATAGAGGACATGCGAATTAGGGTTTGGGGTTAATTAGGGTAGGAGGAGGAGTTAGGGAAGGAGGGAGTTTACTTGGGGCTTAGCACGCGAGATGGCCATAGACGGTGGAGGATCGGGGGTGGGTGGTGGATACGGGCACATGGCGAGGTGCCAAAGCTGTGGGGTTGATGGTAGGCATTGGGCCAGTGTTAGCGGAGGAGGTAAATAAATCAAGTGGTTGGTAACAGATTTGGCGGTGGAGAGCCACTGGAGATAGAGAAGACGACAAAGAGGGCCTCGCCACCATCGTCTTTAAGGAGGAGGAGTTAAGGGTGGGGTGAGCGGGGGTGTTAGGGGAGACTTGACATCGTCGTTCGGGCCTTTTGGCCAACCGGCGAGGCTAGGGAAGACTGGGAAGGGAAGGTAAAAAGATAATGTTACTGTACACACATATGATTTAGGATGGAAATTTTTATTACAAGTTGTGTAGACAGTCCTGAAATCTATCTATCTATTATATTATTAAAGGAATATAAAAAGGAGCCTCCACGTTCGCTCTCATGGCCTAGAAATTCTCACATTAATCGGAGAAAAAGAAAAGGCGGAGTCCATATAGAAATATAATTTAGAAATAGTTGAAATTAGGAATTAAAAAATAAGGAATATTAGAAGAGGAGACTAGAGTCCATATACAAATACAATTAGGAAATAACTGAAATTCGGAATTAAAAAATGTGGAATATTAGAAGTAGAGTATAGAGTCCATATAGAAATACAATTAGGAAATAATTAAAATTCTGAATTAAAAATAAAAAATATTAGAAGTAGAGTATAGAGTCCATATAGAAATACAATTAGGAAATATCTGAAATTCGGAATTAAAAATAAGGAATATTAGAAGTAGAGTATAGAGTCCATATAGAAATACAATTAGGAAATAATATAAATTTGGAATTAAAAATAAGGAATATTAGAAGTAGAGTATAGAGTCCATGTAGAAATACAATTAAGAAAAAAAATAGAAATTCGGAATTAAAAATAAGGAATATTAGAAGTAGAGTATAGAGTCCATATAGGAATTTAAAACTAACTAAAATTTGGAATAAACATAATAAAATTAAAACTAGAGTTTAGAGTCTGTATAAAAATACAATTTACAAATAACTAAAATTCGAAATTAAGAAAAACATGGGAAGAAGAGTTTAAGATCAATATAGGAATACAATTTAGAAGTAACTGAAATTCAAAATTAAAAATTAAAGAATATTGAAAGATGAGTTTATAATTAGAAATAATAAAAATTCAGAAAAATAAAAGAAATAATATTGAAAGAAGAGCATAGAGTCTATATAGAAATACAATTTACA